TCTTCTCTCTCTCTCTCTCTCTCTCTTCTCTCTCTCTCTCTCTCTCTCTCTCTCTCTCTCTCTCTCTTCCTCTATTCCCCTCTCTCCCTCTGTCTCCCCGTCTTTCCTCTGTCTCTCCCCTCTTTCCTTTCTCCTCTGTCCTGCTGCTCCTGTCTCTGGAGGCCAGTCTCCTCCTTTCCTTTCCCCCTTCTATGATCCCTATCCCTAATAAAACCCCCCGGCTTCAATCCTGTAGAGTGGAGTCTTTCTCTTGAGTGCTGGTTTTCTTAAATTACAACACGCTGCATATATGTAAAGTGTGTTAGCTTTGTGTTTTTGTGGGATTGATTCCTGACAATGGAAGCAGGTGTGTTTCTGACTCTTTGCCTGCTCTTGGCACTCTTTTCCTCCTGTTGGGCTACCTTGTCCAGCTTCTGTGTTAGGGCGTTTGCCTCATCTTACTATGTCTTGTTTTGTCTTATTTGGTTATTGTCTTTGTAGGCAGGGTCTTTTCTGATGGGAGACAGGGGCGCGGGGGGGGGGGGGGGACTAGGGGAGAGGGCAGGTGTGGCAGTCTGGGTGCAGTGGAACTGTAATCTGGATGTATTGTGTGACAGAAAAATCTGTTTTCAATTCTAAAAAGTGTAATAAATAAATTAATTAAAAAACTAAAGGAAAAGAAAAGGCATATCACCAAAGCAGGAAGCAGGGTCGGCAGGAACGGCTGTGTTCTCAGTGGCTCCTGTGTAACTGCCACCATCAAGCTGATGGGACTTTACAGCCGCTAAAGACTCCTTGAGAGCGGGGTCTTTCAGGGTTTATGCAGCTCATTTTTACCTTTTCAGAAATACTCGTAAGCCAGTAACTGGAAAGCGGGTCTCTTAAAATGTTGTATTAGTGGAGGAATTATTCATAGAACTTTAGAATGCCTTCCAGATAGGCCTGACGATAGAGTTAAGTCTTCCTTGAAAGAGTGGAGACTTTGGACAGAATTCCTGCAAGGAAATAGCTCCCACAGAATGATCGCTTCTAATAAAAGTCACTGGAGTAATGTAGTAATGTAGACATTTCCCAAACCAGCACAGAATGGGAAGTTTCATGAGATCGTTTTTAAAAATCTAAATGTGTTTACTAATATAAAGGTTTTCAGAGATGAAGACTTAGGGAGTCTTCATGTAGCACTTGCCTCCTTCCTGCGACCTGTTCGTGGTCAGGGGTTGTCTTTCTAAGACCCACAGGGTGACAAAGGGTATCTCTCTCCAACTTCTGAGACTGCCAACCTTCCTCCCTACTTGTCTTTGCTTTCCTGTTTTGGGTAAAATAATAACCTCCACTCACAGTAAGCCAGGCTGACACGTTGACTTTGTGACCAAATAGAATCAAATAACTCAGGTTTATACTCATAATGCTTTAACTTACTTTGCCACGGTTTTCAATTCTGCAGTGATACATCCTGATTCCTATTTATTAAGGTTGTATAACAGGAAGACCTGGGGATTCTAATGGACTTAAAAAATGTAATGTAAGCATATCAGTGCCATCATAGCTATATTTATTTAAGCCTATGGAAAACACTGCTGTTTCAGATTGCTTCCTCAAGTCATCCTGGGGAAAGAAAAAGCTTTGTGTTGACAATATGATTTATTGTTGTTTCAGATTGCTTCCTCAAGTCATCCTGGGGAAAGAAAAAGCTTTGTGACAATATGATTTATTGCTGGGTGTTTATTGGTACCTTATGTTCCAATATTCTGTTTCATTTTGTGTTCAGAGACTGTGTGTGTGTGTGTTTGTACATGCCCACAAGTGTGTGCACACACAGATTTGCACACATCATATACTCCTGTTGGGAGGTACACATCTGTATGTGAATACTCCAAGAGACCAGAGCAGGACCTTGGGCATCATGAACACTCTTTGCCTTCTTCCCTTCAGACAGGATCTCTTATCAAAACTAGAGCTAGGCTGCTGACTGCTCAGCCCTGTGTTCCTTCTGTTTCTGGTCCCTAAAGCACTGGGTTTGCAGGTGCATAGGGATCATGGCCATCCTTAACAGTTTACTGGGGATTTGAACTCAGGTTCTCATGTTTGCATAACAAGTGCTTTTACATGTTGAACCATTGTACCAATCCCATGATACCTTCTTTTATTTGCTTAAACTTTAGTTTACTAACCCCTTCCACTTTTTGAGAACCCTGAAAATACTTTGGAATGAATTTCTGTCATCTTCACTGCTGTACTAGAGCCATTGACACAGCGGTAGGAAGACAGCGTTTATCAAGTGAGGACATGGACTGGCCATTGCTCAGTAGCAGAGGCCTGGGACCTCTGGCACAGCTGTTTATAAACTTTAGGTGCTGGGTGATAGGTGAGATAAGATGCTAGGCTAGAGATTAATAACCAGACATCAGCCAATGAGAGAGTAGTCTAATACTTGAACAGCATCCTGTGGGACCTGGTTATCCTCACTGAAGAGAGTGTCTTGTACTACAAAGATGATTTGTGGTGTTATTTTAGGTGTTGATAGAATCAGACATCTTGTTGGTATAAAATTACACTTGGTTCTGCCAAGTCTGCAGGTCCTGTGAATCTTCTGGGTGTTTGATAGAGGAGACAAGCGAGATGGAGATGAGCATGTCTACTATCTGGAGGGTCTTGTCCATTTGACAGAGACTGGGGTCATTTGGATGGGCAGGATCCTGGTCTGGGCCCTCTTCGGCACAAGTGTGAATTAATGGAAGAGCTTGTAAGGAGGTGCTGGAGGTTTGCGTTTTGGTTAGTTGGTGTATGAAATGCACACTCCCAAGCTAATCAATTACAATCTTCAGGAAAAGAGCCCTGGGGGGTTGAGGTAGTTTATGCAGAATAAGCTCTTTTGCAGTTGTCCAAGGATCAGAAATAGAGAAAATAAAAACACGTAATTAATGCTCTCAACAGCAGTGGGAGACTATATTGTGCAGCCTGGGAGTTCTACCTGCGGGTCTTTACTCGGGTGTGGCTGGGATCACTACTTAACAGTGCAAAAGCTAATTGCAGGATGAGTCAGTATGAAGTATTGGGTTCATTTAGAAAGGGATAGTACATGCTTAGATTTTGGCATGGGTGGAGAGAGGGAGGAAGGGGGAGGGATGGTGACAGGGAGGAGGGAAGAGGCATCCAAGTTTTAAAACTAGCTCTATGTATGATTGTGTAGCGTTTGAAGTTACTGCTCTCAAAGAGCATAATTTACAAGCAGGTTCCAAGATTAAGCAGAGTCTAAGACTTAAGTAAAAATAAGTAGGAGCTGGTTTGCTTTTGCAAATAGAATTCCATTGTGGTTTGCTGGGTGCCTTGTTCAAGCTCAGGGATGAGAAAGGAATGAAGGAAAGGTTAAACTCAAAGGGCACATGCCTTGCTGCCTTATGCATGGTTTACCTGCTGTGCTAACACTGTCTTTGTGGTAGATATAGGTTTCTCTGTTCCACTGGATTCAACACTTTCAAGAGTCCCCTCCCTCCTAAGCACACATTCTTTTCTTTCATTTCTTTTTTTAAAGCCAGTTTTCAAAAAACAAATAAGGTTTCATCCCTGAGGTTTTCCATCTGTGGGTGTGGCCCTGTGAAATCACCTCTTCCATGTTAACATGTCTATTGTTGTCATCCTAGTTAGGGTCTCATTGGGATAGTCGTATTGTTGAGGTCTCACCTGTGAAGCTTCCCTGTCATTTCTAGGAGCCACAAGCTCACAGCAGATTTCCTGGCCCTCTGGCTCCTAAAATCTTCCTGTCCTTTTTCTGGTGCAGCAGCTGTGTTGTGGACGTATCCACTGGGACTGGGTACCCCATGAGCAGATTTTCTCTGCAGTTGTGACCAGTGTGGCGTTCTGAATTGGTCACCATCTTTTGCAAAGAGCATCTTCTTTGATGGGGTTGGGAGCCACACTTATGGGGGGGGCGCATCATGATAAATATTTAGAATGCAGTCAAGTATTATGTCGGTGTAGTCATGAAATGGCAGCTGTAGGTTCTCCTGGAGCATTTGTGATATCACTAGCCCTCGGTCGGTTTCTAATATGAGGCTTGATTTCCCTCCTGATGGGTGAGCCTTACATACAACCCAAAAAGATGAGGGTACCATTATTACACCCTTAGGGATGTCTTGTCATGATGGTCATAGTTGTTGCTCATGATCATCGCAGCTGAATGGGACTATTGATTGTGTCACAGCTTGCATTCATAGCACCTTGTAGAATCATGAAAGCTATTCCTCAGGGCGGGGGCTTTCAGTGACCCTTACAGGTCTGGTGAATGCCCCATGAAGTCTTCTTTCTTTGTTCCTTTTGTTTTCATCATACCCACTTCTGGAAACTGGTAACATTGTGCTTGCTGTTATTAATTACAGCTGAGGTTTATAAGGACCATACCTCGATCTAGAGATTGTGCATACATCTGTCTCATTGTCATCTTGAATCCCTGTTTTAGAGATGAGGAAGCAAGGGCCTCAAGATGTTTCCAGTTCAGCTGAGGTACCAGAGCTGCAGAGCAATGCTTTTACTCTCTATGCTAGACTGTTACCTCATTCCACACAAGCACATCCTGTTCCTTGCTTTTGTGGTGATTGATTTTGTATTGCTCTGATGTTGATGAACTCTTTCCATCCTGTGTACACTCAGGCTCCATCTTAGAATGGGCGTTGTGTGAACAAAGCCCCCCACACACACACACATAGACCCTTTCTCTTTACCTTGAACAGTCTGCACAGCAGGCCAGTTTCCAGAGTGACAGCTATCCTAGGGAAAGGAGAACCATTCATGGTTTCTGGTTCTCTATTTGACATCCTCCAGTATGGGGAGAAAATAAATGACTGTAAAGGTTGTCAGTCTGGCTACATTTGGGTTTGACATTGTAGGATATTTCTTTTAAAGAAAAGTATATACCATGTGTCCTGGTATTGGGAAATCCAAGTGAACAGACAGAGTGGACTCCAGTGGAGCAGCTACTGTCCCATGTAGAATTATCCTAATAACTCTTCTGGTCTTCTTCTCAGCTTGCGACCCATCCTGCCTCCAGTGTGCAGGGAAGAGCCCTCTCAGCTGCACAGTCTGTAAGCCTGCCCATGTGCTGCTATCTGGGCGCTGCCTTTCCCAATGTCCAGAAAGCCACTTTAACCTGGAAGGTACCTGCACGGGTGAGTGTGTGACCTGCTGGGGCAGAGTTCTGCTCTTACATTTGCTCTTCCTAGTGCAACATGACATTTGATTAAAGACTTCATCCCATCAGTGACAGGCTGGGCTCAAAATCCTATTCTCACACTTGACAGTATAAAGGTATTGTGTGAAGAGAACAAGGGGAATTAATCTTCCCATGAGGGAGCATGGCTAGTGTGAAAATCATAAACAGCTTTGTCTCATAGACTATAATATTTAAATACATTCACTCTGCTGGATTTCTCTTGTCTAGGAGACAATCACGTCAAGAGAACTTCTCTCATAGAATAAATAAAACAATAATAAGCTCCAGAATTTAACTCAACATAACACTCAGTTACTATGGCTCTGTTTAAAGTTTAAGGCCTATTTTTTGTAGTTCTCCCAGGAGTCTGTGCTCAGTGTACCAGATTTGAAAGTTCAGAATATGAAAGAAAACGGGGCTTTGAGAGTGGAAATCCCACAACAGGTGATATGCTCTTTGAGCTATCATGTCTCTCTAGTGTTTAGTAAGTGAGGACAAATGAGAGTGGTACCTTTTTATATTGTCTCCAAATATGAAGACGTAAGTAAATCACCATATTTTGAAGAATCATAACTTTTTGCCATTCCGTTCTGCATCCTCTGCTGTTTTTAAATCCCTGTTACTTTTCATCAAAAGGGAAGGAAGGATTTGAGATGTGGCATTGAGATAGACTCTTTCAAGAATCCTTTACTTTCTTCTCTCAATGAGGTTCTACTCTGGTTGCCTAGTGCCACCCAAAATTACTGGCTTAAAACAACTCAGTGTTAGTTGCTTGTAAACAACAGGTTATTATCTTTTGCAGTCCCTGGGATCTGTAGGCTCAGCTTGGAAGCTCTCCCTTAGGATCCTTTAGGCAAATTTAGCTATATCAGTAAGTTAGGTGGGTCAAGAACCCCTCCCACCCCCATTTTATGAGGCCAGTTCTTGTGCCTCATTGAGCTTCTTCACAATATGGTAGTCTCAATTAGTTAGCCTTCCTCCAAGCCATCTGTCTCTTCTTGAGGAGAACATTCCAAGAAACCCAAACAGAAGCTACTGGCTTCTTGGGACCTAACCTTGGGAGTCTCACTGCCCCTTCTCTGTTGTTTAAAGCAGGGCAGCTTAGTTTGAGGGGCGAGGTCGCAGAAGTAGAACGGCTCAGGGGTGGTGACTTGGAGACCAGCATTGGAGGTGTATATTATAAAGGGATAGGCACAAAATACAGTTAAGGACATTTCCCAGGCTTGCTTTCCTTGGTGTCAGCAGCAAAAAAAAAAAAAAAAAAAAAAAAAAAGAAAAAAAAAAAAAAAGAAAAGAAAAGAAGAAAGAAAAAGAAAAATGAGAACCTTATCTTTGACATGTCTTCCCTATTTAAGAGCACCTCTATATTCCATAACAGAGATTTCTGAAATCCCAAATTCAGATTAGTAAAGCATTTTTATCAGAATTGGCAAAATAGTAAAACTTAAGCACCCTAGGGTGTAACTATTTATTCTTATGCCTACGGGGTGGAAGAGACAAACACATTCTCTCAGGAGTCTATTTTGTTTCCAAAAATAGACATCTGAGGCTAGTTGATGGGCAAAAAAAGCTGTTGTAATGAAATCTTGCCCATGTATTTCTGGATTCAGAAAATGTATAGTAAACTTATAAAATGTTTTAAATTATTTTGTCTTATGTGTATGAGTGTTTTTCCTGTGTGTATATCTGTATATCAAGTGCTTGCCTGGTGCTCTGAAGAGGGCATTGGATCTCCTGGCACTGGAGTTACAGATAGCAGTGAACTGCCATGTGGGTGCTGGGAATCAAACTTGGGACCTTGGAAAGAAAAGCCAGTGCTCTTAATCACTGAACCATCTCTCCAGCCCCATGAAATATTAAAACAAACAAATAAAGAACAAATAAATAAGTGAGCACATATTAGATTCTTTTGGCCTAAACTCTAAAAAAGCAAATATACTGTCAATTTAACTATAGATGACTGCAGTGTATTTTTATTCTACAATTTTCTTCTTTCTCCCAATACCTTTCTAATCCCTGGGCCCAGGGCAGCTTTATTTTAAAGCGCCCATCAGCTCTTCAGGGAAACTGCTTGCTTTGTCCTTAGCTTGCCTTTGAAGAAGTCCTGTAGCTGGAGAAGCTTTTATCCAGGCCCCTGTGGTTCCTGTGTGTAAGCTATTTGAAGGAGAGCCTCCTTGCTCCATGTCTTCACTGTCAGTAGATAGATGGTCTCGCCAGAAGCAGGGCACACAGGTCACTGCAGACCTTCTAAGAAGTGGGTAGACCTGGGTGGTAGAATTATCCTTGGAATGCTAGCATCTTCTGGAAGCTTCTCAAACAGAGTCTCGGGAATGCAGACTGATCTAGTATCTTCTAATCAGCAGTTTGTTTTCTTGTCCCCACCCCTTTTAAAAAATTAGCTTACCTCCTCCTGGCCTCTTGCCAGAAGGGAGAGCCGTTTGATTTGAGTTGGAGCCTGCATCTTTGCTCTCCACCAGCCCTGTTCCAGGAGGGAGTGTATTGGTGTCAGCAAGCTCCACACAGCACCTGCCCCTCGCCCCCACCTCTTGGCATCAGACAGGCTTAGATCTCTTCTTCCTGGCTAGGAACACATAGATCTCCTGGCACCTGCTTTGGCAGCCTAGGCAGGTTGTAGCCATGACCTGCCTGGCTTCCTCCCTGTCTGCATCTTTATTGCTTGCTCCTTTCAGAGACTCACCTGGGTTCTTACACTGCTGTGCCTCTTGTTAATTTGGTGGTTTTCTGAGGAAGACATAAGTTGGCTATAATTTTGTCTAAGGCTTTGAACTTCAGATGCAGCCTGTGATAACCTCCAGGAGGAAGACCGTTTTTCTGTTCTTTATATTTAACTGTGTATTGCTGATTAAACTGATTAAAAAAAAAAAAAAGAAAGAAAGATCCAAGATGAGGCCTGAAGGTAGAACCTGGCTAGTAATGTACTCTGGTGGGAAGTCTCAGTCCATGTGCATGTCTGGTCCCCTGCTTACCTGCTGGGAGTTTCTGAAAAGCAAGACCCCTCCTCTTTTTGTCCTTCTTTCTGTGTGTATGTGTATGTGTGCCTGTGTGCTTGGGTGAATGTGTCTGTCTGTATCTCTCTCTCTCTCTCTCTCTCTCTCTCTCTCTCTCTCTCTCTCTCTCTCTCTCTCTGTGTGTGTGTGTGTGTGTGTATGTGTGTCTTTGTATGTGTCTGTCTCAGTCTCTCTGGTCTCTGTCTCTGTCTCGTGTTTTGCAGTAGGAGATGCTTGCCAAATATGGGTTTAAATTTCCTGCTCACATATATGGGGATGCCCCTCTGGAATGGGTGACTGATGATTCAAATTTTTATAGTTCTAGATCTCTCTTCTGTTTGTGGACTATAGTCTCTTTTCTTCCAGAAATGGCAGTTGTTAGGTCAAGTCTAGGTGTGTGCCAGGCATTCTTTGGAGTCTTCAGTAGATGGCCAGAGATAGAGATTTGTGGGGTGCATGAAATATTGCATGCATTTGCATGCTGAACTGCTGATTCTAGTCCTGGCCTTTATCCCTGTCCCCAGAGTGCCACCCATCCTGCAGGCAGTGCCATGGGCCCCTGGAATCAGACTGTGTCTCCTGTCACCCGCACCTCACACTCACCAGTGGGTACTGCAAGACCAGCTGCAAGGAAGAGCAATTCCTGAACTTCGTCGGATACTGTGCTGGTGAGTGATGCCTCTTTGGGGTCCTAGGGAATTCCAGGGCAGCTGCTAGGAGCTTCATACCAGGCAAAAGGATGCTGGTACTGGTCTGTTTGGTTCAGACTACAAGCACTTCTTTCAGTTGATACTTCTCTTGTTCAGGAACTGATTCCACAGTATTTCCTCAAACACTTAGTGAATGAGAATTCAAATATATCTGGTTTTGTTTGTTTTTCCGTTTTTTCTTTCTTTCTTTTTTTGAAATAGGGTCTCATTTAGCCCAGTGTATTAGTTACTTTCTTATTGTTGTCATAAAATGCCAAAGGACTTGAGAAAGGAAGAGTACTTTGGCTCACAGTTTGAGGACATAGCCCATCATGAATGGAAAATGTACAGTTCAGGACATTGACATAGCCAGTTCTATTCCATCTGCAGTGAGAAAGCAGAAAGAGTCCAATGTTGGCACTTCCCTTTCTTTCTCCTCTTCTTTCCATCCCAGACCCCAAACCCATGGTACAGTGCCCCCACATTCATTCAGGGTTTATCTTCCTTTCTTGAAAACATGCTCATAGACACATCCAGAGATGTGTTTCCATGGTGATTCAGTCAAGTTGGTAATGAAGATTAATCTTCACACACAGTCTGGGATCAACTTGCTATATAACTTAGGACGGCCTTGATCTCCTGATCCTCCTGCCCCTGCCTCCCAAAGTGAGGATTACAGTTGTGTGCCACCACATCTAGCTTCAGATAGAAATTTAATAATGTTCTTGTAAGTCCTGAAAGAAAATTAGTCTCATATTAATGGAGAATGAAGTGATGATTATAATACTTTTTATATACATTTTAAGGTACCAAAAATGCATTTTCTAAACATGTTTTCCCATGCTTATGTTAGCTGCTCTCTGAGGGGAATCTTTGCCCAGGCACAGAATTTAGGGTGGTTCAGCTAAAAGTAGACCAGTTTCCTTAGGAGATGAATTGTTTTCTTCCTCTTTTTAGAATCCAGAGAAGGGTAGAGAAGGAAAGGAGGGAGAGAAGGAAGAAAGAAGGACTTGAAATGTAAATAACATTGGATTCATAAAACACCTTTGACTATCCACCTAGATATTCACAGAACAGCATCAAAATATCTGCTTTTGAATCTACTAATGGATAGATTTTCAGACTACAGGGAGGAAAAAAAGAGTATGTTAATAACCCTGTCACTAAAATGTGTAAAGGTTGTATATTCCACCTTCCTTTCTAAATTGTAGAAAAGTTTGTACAACTATGCCTTCAGCAGTGACTGCCTCACTTTTGAGGAGCTGGACTAGGTGGCATTCTGGGATATGCATATAAAAGGGAAAGAAGAGCAAGCAAGATCTGGTAGGAGGCTGGCCCAGCTATGTGGCTTATCCTGGAACAGGAAGGAACTTTGGCTCAGTGTCTACCTCCCAGCATCCAACAGGCATGATCATACTGAGACAACACCAATAAGCATCGTCTTGTTTAGATGGGGGCATAGTAAGTCATTGTCAATGTTCTCAATATGACTGGTTGGTACCAAAGGTGTGCCTTCTTTTGCTTATGATCTTAAGACTAGATATTGGCCATTAGGTTCTATTGTCTAAGAAGACTGTTGAATGCAGGGTAGCATTGGGACAATGATGAACTCAGAGCAAAATCTGACTCAACAGAAACTGTGTGGCCATTTTAGAGTGTCCAGCATGAGTCTTGTCAGAGGGCCGGCTGGGGTGTAGCTCAGTGGTAAAGCTCCTGTCTAGCATGCACAAGACACTATGTTCTTTCCAAAACAACAGAGAAACACAAATTGTACCAGATTTCAGGTGGACTTTGTTTCTGGTGCTACCAGTTACAGTCAGGACTGTCTTGGAAGAGAGTCAAACATTAGTGTCTCCTCCCAAGGGAATATCTGATGATGGCAGGTTTTGACTATTGCAACTCTATAGTCTGAGTTCAACTGCTGAGTCTTACTTTAAGGTATACAAGTTGCTGCTATGAAAACTAAGAGGTCACTGACATGTTCATTACAGCTTTGTGTAACTATAGTAAAATACCAGTGCGGCTAAGTGAGAAAAAGAAATGGTTCATTTAGCTCAGAATTTTGAAGGTTCAAGCCCCTGTCATGAGATTTTGTTCAGTCTGGTAAGAGCCCTTCTCTCAGCTATGCCATATAGTGAAGGAAACATACCTGTATGAAAAGGCCTATGTTTCAGAACAGGTAGTCAAGAGATGACAGTAGAGTCCTACAGTCCCCTTAAAAGCATGATGCCAGTGACCCAATAAACTCTAGACAGGCTCCCAAAGCTTCTGCTACCTATGTAAACAGTATTGTAACACTGGGGGCTAAACCCTTGAGGTCCCCAACCACATTAATAGCAGGTAGTAAGAGTGTGTTAGTAGATGTTTGCCGAATTTCTGTTATGAGGAAGCAGAGAGACATTTCAGGCTACTTAAGGGGATGAACTGAAGATACAGTTGACAAATGGTACAAATAGATTTGCACTGAGTTGTCTGCTGGTCATAAGGACTGTAGGAGTTAACTGGGGTCTGAGGGAGAGGAGGGGAGAACAAGACATGGAAGGCTTCATGGAGCAGGTGAAACTTAGCTTGTCTCCTTCAGATCAGCAAGGGTTGGGTTAGCTAGAAGAGGGGGCATGTGGTTCTACCAGGAGGCAGACTTGGAAAGTAAAGAATATGGGTCATATATGGCCCATGAGTTATCCAACAAGAGTGATGAACATGGCTGGCACTGAAGTACACTACAGAAACACACTGGGAAATTTAACTTGAAATCTGAATATAGAAAGCTTGAAATTTCAGCTATAAATTGAGGCTGGATCTTGAGCACTGCAGGGGTTTTGGAGAGAGGTGTGCCTTGAGTAAGGGTATTATATGAAAACTGTGGAAGATAAGCTAGAGCAGAAAGGGACTGGCTTAAGGGATGCTATCAGCGGTAGAGTGTGAACTATCCCTCTCGTGGTATATTTTCCATTCCAGTCTGTTTTGCATGTGGACCCTAAAACTTGTATGCTATGACATATTTTATAAATAAATGTTTATAGGAGAGTGGAAAGTTTTAATAGTTAATGAGCTCTGTTCTCTCCAAAGTCCAGAGCACTCTTTGATGGTAAATTAGGTGATAAGGAGATGCATTAATTTTTTTAAGGCTAATAGGGACCATTAGACTAGAGAGTCATAGTACTGGCTGGACTCAATGACTTTGGAAGTCCCCAGTCTCAGAAGAACAGGCTTTGACTGTCCATGAAATTGGGTATGTTCTTGATTTTAAATGTAGTCATTGCCCATTGCTCAGAATAGGGATTGTTTTAAGTGTACTTCAATTGTGAAGCCATGAGAAAAAAAGAAAAAATGTTGACATAGTTTACTTTGTCACTAAACATATGACTTTCTAAATACTGTTCATTAAGTGTTTAGTAAACCCATATTCCTTGCCAGGTTGGCTTTATCCGGGCTCTGGGGGATAGAGTGAAGATATCTAACTTTCATCTAAGAAATGTAGCTTAGTGAAGGATAGTACATTTGGTTGTCAGGGCTACCATAATACTGAAGAGTACTGAAGACTGGGAAACTTTAATAGCACAAATGGATTTTTCTCATGGCTCTGGAAGATACAAGTCCAGGACTAAGGTGCCTACAGGACGGGTTCCCTAGAGATCTCCCCTTTCTGTGAAATGTCTGTCCCCTTGAGACCATCTTTTTTGGGGGATGTCTTACTCAGTAACCCAGACTGGCTTGGAAATCATGATAGCTTCCCTCCCTCAACCCCACAAGGGCTGGGATTAAGTATTATGGTTGCCGTTCTGCAAAGAGAAAGATTACAGAAGATGGTCTGCAAGAAGCTGAGGAAGACCTGTATTAAGTAATTACAGGAGTCCAGATGAGCTTTCAAGCCAAGGGTGAAGGGGAAGGAAGGGACTTGGCCTCATTGGATGTCAAATATACATTAGATTTTTGCTATTTGTCAGCAAAAGTTATCCAAGAGGGCAGTTTCATGTGGTTTAATTTAATAGAGCAACAGAAATAGTTGCTCTCTTGCCATAGTTGTGAAGGAACTGGAGATTCCAAGTTTCAGGTAATGAAAATTCAAAGGGTGGATATAGACCTTTGCCTGGGACAGCAATAAGTGTAAGAGTCAGTAAGGAAGATGTTTGCATTGGGATAAGTTGGACTTGGGGTGACAGTTGTACATCAGGTGTACAGTCCCTTGAAGAGGTTGAAGGGATGCATTATAGCTTACCAGCTCAGTTCCTACTTACTATTATCTTGAACCGAAGGTCCTAGAATTCTATTTTTTATGTTGAAATGCTGCTTCAGTTCATGATAAGTGTCATGGAATTTTTCAAATTAGTTTGATCTGAAGGAAGGAAGGAGAGGAATTGTGTGGTGACAGAACAAACAGGCTGACACCTACCCCTACTATGCAGTGTCCTCACAAGTGTCCATGGGGACCACAGAGAGAAGGACCCTCTCTGTGGTCCTTTCAGGGGGCTACAATTTGCTCCTGGGATTTATTCCTCTATCTTAGCTGTAACTGTGATCATCACCTAAGACCTCTCAATTGCACTTAGCTGTTCAAAAAGAAAATTCCACTTAATCAATCACACAGACAAGAATAAACACATCCTGGGAACAGGTCCAATCACTCTAGTGTGTTCTTGCATATGGAGATGTCATATGTGGGGCGGGGGTATTTCCTCCAAGTCTGTCAAAGCAAATAGATAGTTGGAAGATTTAGGTCAGGGCTGAAGATTTTCAGCAAAGACAAATGAAGTGGGATGTGATGCAGGGGTGTATCAGCCTGTCACAGACATGGCTAAGTGCTATGGGAAGGAGTTTCTTCATAGGTTTGTCTCCACCTCCCACTCCCCTACCCCACCTACCCTGTACATCTCAACATTATCAAGAATTTCCAAAGCCTGGGGTGATTTCTCTGTTTGTCTTTCTCAGCTAAAAGCTTTCTCCTGTTCACAGAAGAGGGTGAAATTAAAAAGAAAGCA